TAACATACCTCCCCTTTTTTTTTAATTGTTGCTTGTTGTTTCTCCCTCATGCTAGAATGGCAGTTCTGTGTGAGCAGGGCCTTTCCTGGCTTTATTTCCTGCCATATTTTCTACTCCTAGAGCAGTGTCTGGCATATATCGTTGTATTTAGTAAATACTTGTTCAGTTGATGAATGAACTTTTTTTTTTTTAAATATTTTTATTTATTTATTGAGAGAAAGAGAGAATGGTAGAGAGAGAGCATGAGAGGGAAAGAGGTCAGAGGGAGAGGCAGACTCCCCGCTGAGCAGGGATCCCGATGCGGGACTCGATCCCAGGACTCCAGGATCATGACCCGAGCCGAAGGCAGTCGCTTAACCAACTGAGCCACCCAGGCACCCAATGAATGAACTTTTTAAAAATATTTGGAGGAATGTATGTTTCTCCAAGTTGAAATTATCTCTCATTCATCTTAATATATAGAAACACATTTTCCTGTTTTGTGGATTTTGTAATAACCAATATAAATAATTGAGTATAATTATCTCCAATAGACTTAAAGAATTATCGATTAATATTACTTTTTTTTTAGAACTTGTCTTTTTTATTCACTGTTATGGTCAGGCTCATTTACTCATGCATTTATTCTTGAACAGTGAGTCATTTATGACTTTAAAATAGAAAGCTATAGTTGACCTCACAACATTTTAAATGCAGTATTTTAAAGGGCTTACAATAAGTAAAGATGATACTCAATGAAGGTGGAACTATATTATTTAATGCTCCAAATTGGAAAGTTTGGACGTAATTTATTGGAAACGAAGAATTAAGGGTATCAAAAATGCAGCCCTTCTAAATTTTAGGAAGGATTATTAATATTGCTAATTTTGAGTATTATAAGTCTTGCTAGTGTGTTTTATTATTATGTTCAAGTGTGTTTCATTCTCTCTTACTCTCTCTTCTTGCGTGTATCTTTGTATTTTTGATTGCGTGTGCACAGTTTCTTCCAGTAAGCTTTTCTGTTTCAGAAAACTCTTCCTTTGGTTCTGTTGTTCTTGGATTCTTTGCTCATGCCAGGCCCTCCCAAAATTTGACCATAATATAAAACTGGTTTATACATTTTTATTATTATATCTAATTAAGTGGAGTATCAGATTCCATTTTCATTTTTGAGCATGAGTGAGTTTTTTATGTGGCCTTGTTTTTAACTTTTGTTCATTAACTTTTGATTTCTTAGTTTTTTTTGTTTTTAACTTCTATTGACGCAGTAACTTTTGGTCAAATACAATTTTTAATATGTAGTAGCTGGGCCTTGGAGAATTCCAGCTTTACAGTTTCATCCACATGATCTTGGGAATGTTAGGTAGCTGTTGATATTTTCTTCATCTATTTGTAGAGCTAATTTCTGTCACTGAGCTTTATTATTCGATTTAAATAATAGAGACAAGAAGCAAGCATTGGATTTTGAAGCTGTATCCCTGTTAGATTATGCCAGTTGAAATTTGCAGTCCTTCTCACCTTCTCACTATATGTTTTCTTTCTCTGTTCCTTTTGACATCTTTTCCTGCCTTTCCTTTCTTTTTTTCTTCTTTTTCCTTTTGGCATAAGTCTCACAGAAGATGAACAGGGTAAAAAGTTTTCATGAGATAGGATAACCCTTCTGTCTCGGCCAGTCAGGGCTTTAACTCTTCCCCGTCCCCTCCTTTGTCAGTCCAGGAGTATTTGGGAAGGTCCATGGGGTAGAGTACAGTAAGAGGTAGAGGCCTACTTAATTCCACTTTGAGTTCACAAACGGAAACCCAGTCCTGCCTAGAATAAGAAGAACTTCTTCAGTGTTAATCCGGTGTTAATGAATTTGTTAAATCAATCTCTGCTAACACAGAGAAGAGAAATACTCGTTATATGTAAGAGATTTTAGTGTTTAATCTATACATGACTTCAAGGGCATGAGGGGAAAGATGCTCTTTCAGCCTGGTTGGGGAATACCTGGCCGGCTAGGCCAATACCTTCACTGAGCATGTTTAAGAAAGGAGATCTGGCAGGAGCAAGGGTCATTTTCAGTTCAGTTTTTAAAGGTGCAGAGGGAGTTTCTTTACTGTTGTTAAGACATTTCACAATTCAAATTTGATAAGGAACTAAGGAAATGTCTTAAAGATATTATTTTAATGGATGATTTAATTAAATTTATTTATTTGTAGTAGAAACTATTCTAGAAACCTTTTAAAAAACACTTTTAGAAATACATGAAATATAAGAAAATGTCCTAAATTATAAAAGGGTGCAAAAGAAGAATGAAAATCATGAGTGGGACCATTAAAAATGAAGACCGGACAAAAATTTGCCATTGAGACTGGACAAAACCTATAATGATGACCTACATACTTGCCTATGGTTAGACTAAATTCGGCTTTAAGCCTTCTAGTGGTCAACAAAAAAAGAAAGTTAATTTTTAAATTTACTGTACCATGAGTAAAAAACAAATCTGTTGCTCAGAAGAAGCAAAACTGTTCTTGTTACAAAAACTTGAAAGGACTTTCTCCAAGGAGTCCACATGAAAATGAGCCTGTGTGATCTAACAAATAACACTCTCAACAGTAACTTAGAGGAAGAGCAAGGGTGACTGTTACAGATCTATGTCCTATGACAAGTGTCAATGCAGACTGATGGTATCACGCTGAGCACCAGTTGGTTGGTAAGGGAATAATTCTGTAGAGTGGCTCAGGCCCAGTATGCTGTAAGTTGCAGAACCTCCTTCTCTGCTGGTCTGACTTGATTTCAACACATATTTTATTAAATCTAGAAAATGGATTATGTGTTCCTGAATCAGTTGTTCTTAAATGTCTTTTTTTTTCCTCAGATGAATTTTGTTAAATATTTGGTGGCACTGATAGCCATGTTCCAGTAGTAAAGCTCTTTCTTTACTCCAAGTGCATACAACACTTTGATAGAGTGTGGAGTTTGAGGTTGGATTGACTTTTGCAATCTGGAAAGCTAAATAAGGATACTGGCCTCAAGGGGCCATCCAGCCTATGGAGGAGCTGAAGATGTGCCCTAATAATATTAAAAAAAAATTCAGCCTAACAAATCCTCTGGAATGTGCCTTAGTGTCCCAACAAATGGTAGCAAAGTTCTACCATCCCTATGTTGTGGTCACAGTAAATTTAACCTGGCAGATTTTCCAAGCTTATATAACAGATACCCACTTGGTAGAAAAGCTTCGCACACTCGTAAAACTTTGTCTAGCTTTGAGCACTGTGACTCCTTGGTTTATCTTTGAAGATAAACTACTTGCCAAATACATACTGAGAAAATGAGAGGAAGGAACTTGTTGAGTAGGACTCTTATTCATAATCCAGTTAAAAACTGAGGGACAACCTACCCAAAGTAACATTTGGTTACAGACTAAATGATCTATAGCCCTTTTTTCCTGTCAGGAATTAGTTAACAAAGACGTTCCTTGTTAGTGATAACAAAACTTATGGCGCCCTAAAGCTTAAAAAATAATAATAAACTACTTGTCTCAGATGCTAAGAGAAATACATGCTCTAGCTGATAAGAGTTGGCATCATGTTATTAATAAAAAACAAAAAAAATAAGTTAAAAAATGGGGCTAGAAAATACCCTCTTATACCTCACAGAACACATTTTTATCATTCATCAAGAGCCTTTTTACTTTTTGACTCTTGCAGAATTAGGTGCTGGTTCTGAGTAAACATCAATGTATTTGCAAAGAATTTTCCAATGGGAAATAGGTTGAATACTGAAGGTTTGTGTTATTGTCAAAGGCGAAAAAGTGCTCCGATTTTGTGATGCTCATCACTGTGACTTTTCCTGTTAATAATCTGCCTAGAAGTCAGGCATCCGTGCTTACTGACAATTACCCTGTGGCCATTCAGTGATAATAATTGACGGTAATGAGATGAAAAGCAGAATATAAGTTGGCCACACCAGTGTGCTAGAAATCAGGAAATTCAGCTTCTGACCTTCACTTAGTCAGTGATTTTATGATATTTGTCATATCTTTTGAACATTTTGTATCTCAGCTTGTCCATCGGTTAAACTGAGTTTGAAATAACTGCCCTGGTCTATCTCACAGGAATGTTGCCTGGACAAATTGGATAAGTGTAAAAGTGCCTTGGAGGTAAAGCCACTCTGTGTATAGAGATTAGTGTGATGGAGCTACTGAAAAGTATGTTGCAGAGGCTAGAATGGTTCATTTCTGCAGGCTTCATGACTAGATAAGGCTTCATAATGGATTCCTGTCAAGCAAACCAAACCCATCTTATCAGTTCATGACTGTATAGTATTTAATGGAAAAAAATCTCTTTACAAACATTTGTTACCTTGATACAAATGTGCATTAAAAATCAGTCCTGTTTTAATTAAATAAAACCTTCCTAAGTAGCTTCAAAGCAGTCTCTAATATCTAGTTGACAGTTTCCATAGTCTATTTGGAGGGATCATAAACATTTGATATGCTTAATAAAGTTGAGAAATAAGTAATGAAACAATGTGTGGGGAACAGAAATGGATTGCAGTGTTTCCTCAGGTAATAATTGCTATGAGTTTTAAGACTCTGACCTTACCAAATTGAGATTTCTCTTTTGTTTATTTTATAGAAATATCAAATTGTCATCTCTGCCTAAGTCATATGTTTTTTCCTGGTTACTTCATTTTCTGTTGGAGTTAACATCCTCATTCTCAATCATAATCATGATACAGACAGAGCCACTTGTTGCAGCTCAAAAAACATAACCAAATCTCTTGAAGATGGAAAAAACGTGGGGGAAATGGCCTTCCTCAAAAGAATCCCTTAAGTGCTTTTTACTCCTCCCTCTTTTTCTCATCACATAAATGCTCAGAGTTCCTGTGTAAATTTTACAGCACCCATGTTTTCAGCCCTTGAGAAGGATAATTGAGCAAGTATTTAATTGTTTGGATGTTGCATAAAAGAGGTTCTGTCCAAGCTAACTTAAGAAACTTTTATTCCCCAGCCAACTTGATCTCTTTTCTTCTGGCAGGGGACCATTCCTAGTGGCACTAGGGAAATCTTGGCATCCAGAAGAATTTAACTGTGCTCACTGCAAAAATACAATGGCCTACATTGGATTTGTAGAGGAGAAGGGAGCCCTGTACTGTGAGCTGTGCTATGAGAAATTCTTTGCTCCTGAATGTGGGCGATGCCAAAGGAAGATCCTTGGAGTAAGTATCAGAAACCTCTTTATTCTGGGTGAGCTTTAAAGCACAATATGAAACCCTTCCATCAGTTTTCCTTTTTATTTTCTTCTTGCTTGATCCCCTCTCTGTTTTCATCACTGTTTATTATTGTAAAGCAAAACTAAATAGACCTCTGTAGAAGTATATCGGACTCATGGGGTTAAGTTGTCTTTGGTTTTGTCTTACTGAGTGCTTGCTTGTCTGGTGAAAGTCTAGCCACTGTGGGGAAAAAATAATTTACTGTGGGTATGCTACCTCAACAGGACCCTGTTTGCTCAGGAATGAAGAGGTCACACAGGACCACACACATCAGAGTTCTCAGAACTGACACCTTCACTGTTTTAAATTAAATTCCATAGCTTTTATAAGAGCAGCATTTCCCCATTTGTCAGGGTTCAAGCACAGGGCACAGATCTCATGAAATATATAAAACATGAAGCTTATAAATGATATATTTTTCTTAAACATGTATAATGTTTAAAAATATAACTTATTTTATGAGCATATGCATGTGATAGAAAAATCTAAGCACCTTTTTTTTTTCTTTTCAAAAAGGGAGTAATTTAGGAGTCAGATATATAATAAATAATGATGAATGAATGAATGAATTTCCTGCTCTGGAATATCCAGTTTGCAGTTTACAAAGAAAGGGTCAGTCATTTCTTATGGGTGACCAGGAGTTGGAATTTTATTTTAGAAGCATCCAGTGTGCCTGGTCTCATACGAAACTCATACAGCTAATACAAAAGATGGAAATAGCATTGCCGAATTCTAATATTCTCTCCATAAAAATATAATAATGAAACTTTAATTCATATCAGTTGAGAGAAAAGTTAGTATGAACTATTGAGTACTTTGAATTTCAGATTACATCTTTAAATGGTTCTAAAATTTTGAGGACACTTAAATTGTAACTATACCACATGAAATATTTCTATATTATTAATTTGTACAATATGTTGGGAACAAAAGAGTAGAATGATACAGGCTGTAACTTCCAAAATGACAAATAATAAGACTCTTTTAGTATATAAATGTATTCTATAAATTCTAGAATAATTAGTAACACAAAGTCAGGTAACAGTCTTAGAACTAAATGAGGTTCTAGGAAATGGAAATCATATCCTCATTGCCTTAGAGATGGGCCGGAACTTCACTACAGAGACAGAGTCTATGGATTGTGTTTTAGTTGTTTGATTTCCTATTAAAGAAGCAATAGTAATCTGTCTTAAGGATAGAAAGGGAAGTAAATGCCAAAAGCCTTGAGAAATGATTTGGTTCAATGTACATTTGTTGTACATGTTCATAGTAATCTTTTTGGATCTAAACAACTGCCATTCCCAGTATCCTTCAGTAGTGAACTGTCGTGTTTTCTAAGGCTAATAATTTGCTCTGTATCATTTTATTTTATTTTAACAATTTTTATTATTAAAAACATTTCATTCTACAGCAGTTAGAAAATACCAAAAAATGTAAAGAAGAAAATTAAAGTGACCTATATATTTTACCAATCCCAGATAATTCCTGTTAACCGTAGGATGTATTTTCTTCCAGTTTGCTCTTTATAAGTAATTCATTTACAAAATTGTAACCACACTTTATGTGTAGCATCCTCTTTTTTGTGATCAATGTTATGGAAAGAGTAAATTCCCATTATATTAACTGTTCTTCAAAAATAATGTTTAATGGCTCCATCTGTCTAAATCTAAAGAAATGATTCCTTGCAAAACCAGCTTCTCAAGACTTCTTTTACTAATTAAAATCTGGCCCAAGTCTTTGATATTGCTATTTTTAACCATAGAGCCATTGTTGATTAGAATCCATACTTTATGGTTCAAACTTTAGACACTCATTTGAGTGTGTGCTTAGTGTAGTCACAGCTGATTTCCAGAATCCTAAACATGTGTTAAACTGATTGGATTACACTGATTATGTTATTGCTTCCATAATGCACCAAAGCACAGGTTTGTTTTAATTTTCAAATGTTTTGCCCTTCCTCCATGACATTTTCTTTTTTTTCCCTCCATGACATGTTCAAGATAATACTATGAAACCTTTGTAAGTTAATGTTCCCTGACACCCTTTTGAGAGAAAGCAGAATGTTTCGTAGGAAGCACTTATGAAATGCTTACTTTATTTACCACATATATAATGTTTAAAAAACACAATAATCATTCTTTAAATAAGTTTATTGATGTGTATTTATGGGAAACACACATATTATATAGTGTATCAGTTTAGACAATTTGTGAGTCTGTCTTTAAGTATCATGTTACTTAGAGGAAAAGCTCACGGTAAAGACAAAGCATGTGTCTACCTTGGGTCAGTTTAAATAAGGCTGTGTTGGTACAACTAGTAAAATAAGCATTTGTATATTTTTCATCTTTCTTTACATCCAATTACCTTTCTGTAACAGGAAGTCATCAATGCTCTGAAACAAACTTGGCACGTTTCCTGTTTTGTGTGTGTGGCCTGTGGAAAACCCATTCGTAATAATGTTTTTCATTTGGAGGATGGTGAACCCTACTGTGAGACTGGTAAGATCCTAAAGCTGTTAGTTTCTTAAGTTTTGAATAAAGATAAAACATTAACCCTTATATTACTATAAAGTTGAGAGGAAATATTGGGCAGAGTAGATTTCCTAACTATTTTAGGGGCATTTAAAGCTACTCTAAATATATAGCAAAAAACTATGGAAAATTTTTATGTGACTTTGCCAAAACAGATAGTCCCAACTTCATCAAGAGAAATGAGCATATAAGCATTACCTAGTAGGAAAATATTTTACTTGAATCCCTAATAGTTTATGAATTCTACCAAATTGTGGTGCTTAAAGCCACCTCTTACACTCTAACAGTGAATTTTGCGTGGTTTTAAACATGAGAAATGATCAACTTTTGAACGTGATATTGATTTGTTCTTTAAGGCAACTGTCTTGACAATAAATTGGAAGTCTTTTATTACTCTTACTTGAATGGGAGGGTAATCTTGGCTTGTGTTGTTCCCTTAGTAAAATTATTTTTAATAAACTTAGCTCTAAGGAGCAATCTACTACACTTGTCCTATTACCTGAGCTCTGAACCCTTCTTTTCTTTCCCAGAGGCTGTAAGTGAACTTTCATAACACTCATTTGTTATTATTACTCTTACTTAGGTATTAGTACCACACATGTTTCAAAAAATAAAATATTTTCCCTTTATCATGCTTATATTCACTACCACTGCATTTCCACTATGGAGTTTTATTGTCGATCTACCTTGATATTCTTCAAAGTGTAGTGCTGGAGGAAGGGAATACTGCACACTAGTTAAGTTAAAGAGCAGTTCAACTTCTAATTTGAGGCTAGTCAGCATCACTCGGACCCTTTTTTGCTCACTCAATTCCTTTTAGCTCCTAGGCAGGACCAATCTAGATCTATGCCAAATGATCCACCAGGAAGCTCTCTGGAAATTCCAGTGAACTATCCCATCTATGGTCTATTTTGGGACAGGATGGCTACAAGCTGCCTACCCTGATTCAATCAGAGTATTTCACATTTTGTAATTTCACCTAATTCTTCTGAAGAAAGAGCTTGTTTGTTTTAAAACTGGCAGATAGTCCCTATCTAGCCAAATACACACAAAACTATTTAGCCTTAATATCGTATTTAATGTAGTCTAAGAAGTCAGATTTTTTAAAACCCAAAAATTGCTTACAGAAAGGGAAAAATGTTGAAGATTTATTTAAATGTCATTTCTAATCAACTTGATCTATTTTTGTTGTATTTGTTTAACCTCCCACATTTGTTATTACCCAGACTTTCCCATCCAGTAAATGCCCCACTCTCCACTATCCCAAAACCTAAGATTCTCCTCTTTACCTTGCTCTCGCCATATCCAGTCTAATTAGTAAATTGTAGCAGTTCTACCCCCAATGTATATAAATTCATTCATTTCTCTTCACCCCAATAGTCAGAACTAAATCCAACTCACTCTCTTTGCCTGGACACTCTAATGATTAGAGTGTCCAACTGAAATGATATAGCTTCTTTCCCCTCGACCCTCAAATAGCAGCTATAATAATATTTTGTTTCAATGTGAATTAGATTATGCTTGATACCTCTTGGCTTCCACTTGAGTAAACACTATACTCTTTATTAGGCCAACCTTATCTTCTACCACCTTACTCTCTGTCCCTGAATTCTAGGCATTCCTAGCCCCTTTGCTTTCCTGAACATGCTAAGATTCTTCCTGCCTCAGGGCTTTTGTATTTGCTGTTTCTTCTAACTGATCTGTTCTTCCTCAGCTTTTCTGTGGTGATTTTTCCTTTTTTTGTCAAGTCTCGGCACAGCTATTACCTCCTTAGAGAAGCCTTTCTTAACCCATCTAGTTAATGGAGTTTACATACTTCCCCCAACTATTCTGTATCACATGACTATTTTCTTCATGGTTCTTGTCACAGTCTGAAATTATTTATTATCACTTATTTTCAAAATGTAATAAGTGACGACATCCTACTCCCAATGAGATTGTAAGCACCATGAAGAGAGCAGCCACATCTGTCTTCACCACTCTACCTGCTGTCAGTGCCGGGCACATAGTAGGACTCTGTGAACATGTGCTGAGCAGATGGTGCTATGGAATATTGAAAATTGTTAAGAGAGGTAAATTAAGTTGGAAATGAAAGTCTACTTTCTACTCCAGCCCAAGTTGGAGTAAACACAAGTAGTGAGAGTAGCTGCATAAAAGAAAATTGCCAGTAAGTTCTAATTTAGTAATAATAAAGAAACATCTCATCAATACTGCTTTCTTCAGAAGGAAATCCTATTAGTATTTTATAACTGTAATCTCTGTCAAGTAAATGGTGTTCTCTGGCTAAGGATTTTCAGCATGAAGTCATAAAATTGAAAGGAAATTGCAGCATAAGAATAGTGGTTAAAACTGTTATGATACAGTCCAGCTAGAAACTCAGTCATGGCACTTATTTATGGAAGTTTCTTGTGACTTTTTTTTTCTTCCCTACCGAGTCAGATATTCTATGAAATGTGCTGATATCAGATATTCCTTCTTGATTTATGTTCTTTAGTCTTATTGTTGCTGGTATTTGGAAGCTCTCTTGTCTTTTGTTAAAACAGTCATGTCTATTGATAACTTATCAGGGAACAGAGTTGTTCTTCATAGGTATTTGGACATTTAGGTAGCTGGAGATAAGTGAGAAGTATTATGTGGAAAACTGGAGTAAAGGACGTTAAGTTATGTAAATAACATTTACCCCAAAAGTAACCTGAAACATGTTACATATTGTCAAGCCAAACATGTCTTCTGAACATTTTTCAGTTACTAGTAACTTTATCTTCATCTTCTCATTTAATTCCAATTTTGTTGCTTTCTAGGAACTATTATTCTAAAGCTTTGTCATATTTAAATTATGTCTCCCCACCCCCATCCTGCCCCAATACAGATTATTATGCCCTTTTTGGTACCATATGCCATGGATGTGAGTTTCCCATAGAAGCTGGCGACATGTTCCTGGAGGCCCTGGGCTATACCTGGCATGACACTTGCTTTGTATGCTCGGTAAGTAAACTCTTTATTTCCAAATTAGAGGAGTGCAGTATGGCCACTTTTAGCCTAAGCACTAAATGGAAATAACAGTTCTTGTATTTTTGCTTTTTTTTTTTTTTTAAGGTTTTATTTATTTGAGAGAGAGAGAATGAGAGATAGAGAGCACGAGAGGGAAGAGGGTCAGAGGGAGAAGCAGACTCCCTGCCGAGCAAGGAGCCTGATGTGGGACTCGATCCTGGGACTCCAGGATCATGACCTGAGCTGAAGGCAGTCACCTAATTTTGAAAGTTGTTCATTGAAAGTTCTGACATTTTTTGAATTATTTGGCACAGAATAAGATGCTTTAGAGAAAATCTTATTTTTAATAAGTTTGTGTTTATAAGGGAAACTACATATTTCTTAAAACAGTAAAAGTCCTTTACATTTTTTAAAAATTCTGTTTTATTGGGGTATTTTTAGTAATTTTTAGAAACATGGGTACCTGAAATAGAAACAAACAATTCTAATCAGAGGAGGAGACAAACCATGAGAGACTATGGACTCTGAGAAACAAACTGAGGGTTCTAGAGGGGAGGAGGTGGGAGGATGGGTTAGCCTGGTGATGGGTATTAAAGAGGGCACGTACTGAATGGAGCACTGGGTGTTATGCACAAACAATGAATCATGGAACACTTCATCAAAAACTAATGATGTAATGTATGGTGATTAACATAACATAATAAAAAAATTCTGATAAAAAAAAGAAACAAACAATTCTAAAAATCTATTGTTGAGTTAAGAGTGGAAGCAAACTCTGTGTTGATTTGCTTCCTTCCTCAGCAATAGTCCATGAATATTTTTTCTTTTTAAGACTATAATAGAATGTAGTGATGTATTTACCTATTTTGTTTGATATCTTAATATTTTTGGTTTTATTTTTAATGATGAGGATAACTGTAGAGATTCACATTCACCCTAAGACTTTTATTTTTAATGATTTTATTTATTTATTTGAGAGAGAGGAAGAAAGAGCGAGAGAACATGCATGAGTAGAGGAGAAGGGCAGAGGGAGAAGCAGACTTCCTGCTGAGCAGGGAGCCCAATGCAGGGCTTGATTGCAAGACTCTGAGATCATGACCTGAGCTGAAGGCAGACACTTAACTGAATGAGCCACCCAGGTGCCCCCTTAAGACTTTTTAAATTTAGAAAGTATATATCCAATAAAGACACTCTGTTCAGATGTTTGTTTTTTTTATTAGATTTAATATATCTAATAGTTTTCAATACCCACCATATGAAGGGAAAAAAGTAATGTTAATTGAAGTCAAATGATTACTCCAGACATTACCTGGTTGACTATTAAATTCATCTTGTTTACCTCTTCCATTTCTTAGACTTCATGAGATCTATAAAATGCAACAACTTTTAGCAGATTTGCCTTCTCCTGTTCTCTGGTAGAACTGTTTTATTTTACTATTATACTTCATAAAGGCAATAGGAAAGACAAGAAGACATAAATGCGGATAGTAAGTAGACCATGTAATCATCCGGTAGCCAGATGTTGACCAGGGTTTTTACTATAAGGAACAAAGAAAGGAATTAAAAAGAATCCTCAGGTATTCTGTGCTGATGTATTTGGGAGCTTGGGAATATTGGGCAAAGCAATTGTATTGTGTCTTCATTTTGAGTGCTTTGGTTCCCTACCACAGGAGGCAAATTTAGAGCATTGATGAGCATTTGAGAAGAGAAATTACATTTAATGTGACCTCTTTGTTTTCTTATTAGGGCCTAGTAAAGAAAAGTAATGATCAGTGATTTAAAAAATTAGAATACATTTGAGGAAAAAGTCATTCTTAATTGCTTTTGAGAAATTACATGAAATATCATAGTAATCATTACATGTCAGAGTGTCTAATACAACCAACAAAAGTGCTTTGTCTTTTTTTATTCTCTCAAAGTTTTATTTATTTATTTTAATTTTATTATGTTAGTCACCATACAGTACATCATTAGTTTTTGATGTAGCGTTCCATGATTCGTTGTTTGCTTATAACACGCAGTGCTCGATGCAGTACATGCCCTCAATGCCCATCACCAGGCTAACCCATCCCCCACGCCCCTCCCCTCTAAAACCCTGTTTGTTTCTCAGAGTCCACAGTCTCTCATGGTTCGTCTCTCCCTCCGATTCCCCCTCTTCATTTTTCCCTTCCTTCTCCTAATGTCCTCCATGGTATTCCTTATGTTCCACAAATAAGTCAAGCAGAGAAAGTACTTTGTCTTATCCACCAAGTGGAAAAGTCATTTTCCCCTTTTAGGCATATTTGATAAAATAATGATATTCTTTTAAATAATGCTTCTTTTTCAGGTATGTTGTGAAAGTTTGGAAGGTCAGACCTTTTTCTCCAAGAAGGACAAGCCACTTTGCAAGAAACATGCTCATTCTGTGAATTTTTGAAAGTCAACAGTTCAGGCAGGGGAGGAGAAGAAATTCGAAGAGAAAAGAGGAGAATTGGAATTACCAATTAATTTTTAGATTTAATATTTATGGGAATTTTGAAAAATAATAGTGGCCCTGAAGGGATAAATTCCAGCTTTAAAAATCAAGTCTATGAGGAAATATTTGGCTTCATAAAGTAAAGAGACAGTTTGGCATTTATGATTACTTTTTTCCTGTGTTTTCTGCCCATAAAATAATTTTTATAAAAACCAATTTCCTGGTTGACTATTAAATTCATCATAGAATAAATTAGTGAAGAGTTAAATTTTAGAATAAAAACCTCTAAAATCTATGCTGAATTAATTATACTTTCTTTCCTTGTTAGGTAGTTCTGAGTAAATCTGTAAAAGGCAATGAAAATTGCCTTACACTCTATCAATAAGTAAAATGTATTTTTAAAAAAATAGTGCTTGTCTTTAAAAGAGGAAATAGGAGTTAAACAGAATTTTTTATCAGTAGTAGGTGTCCGTTTTTAAAAACTGTATGTACTTTTTTTGTCTTACTGATCAATCCAGTAGGAAAGACTAAGATTTTCCATCAGAATGTGCCATGCCAATAAGAGGTGTTAACATATTTCTCTCATCCACCCCCCACAAAAGCTACCACATTGCTTATAAATTTCAGATTTTTACCTTTTATTAAAATATGGCCATTTCTATTCATTGTGTATGTTTTATCACCTATATTAGTCAAACTCCCATTTTTTTCCCCTTCCCTCATGCTGAGGTCAAGAGAGTAAGTAGAAAAGAGTGAGGTTAGGAATTATGGGAAATCAGAGGAGGACTGTATTCAAAAATTTTTAAAATTCTCCCCTTTTCAGACAGTGAATGCATTAGATCAGTTTCAGATTTGTACTACTGACTGATAAAGGTTTGAGAACTCTCTTTGCAGAATAATTTTTTCTTTAGTTCTACATTAGAAAAGTAAAAGATTGGCTTGGGGATGTGATAAAATCTAAGGGTTTTTTTTTTTTTTCTTTTAGTAGTTCTCTCTCAGTAATAAATAAACCACTTCCAAATGTGATCACAAAGTTTGGAAAGCTTTTATTCCCAGAGATTGTTAGTATAGGAGGGGAACGTGATCAGTTACTCAGACTGGCTCGTTATTTGTTTTCTTTATTTGGGGAAACAATTATATAGATAACCCATGAAGACAGAGCAACAATTGTGAAATTGTGACTCCTAATGATATTTGCCCAGTGAGAAAACAGATTATGACATTTGATAGTTTTTCCTTTGTTTCCAGAATGGATGAAAGCCCATGATCCCACTAAGTTAAAAATATCAATGTGTCTGGGGCAAGGTGCTTTCAAAGTTGAGACAGAACCCCAAGTCCTCCCTGCCCTGTAACTCATGAACGACTTCATTTCCATTGTGCACATGTTTGTTGTAGAGGGAGGTTTTAGGCTCTAATATTTGTTTAACCTCCCTAAGAACTTTTCAAGGCATCTGTACTGAAAGCTGTTAATTTATGGTCTAGCAGATTTATATTATATGCAGATAATAACTAACTGGGAATCAAAGCATGAGAAGGGTCACGTGAAGTGGCTTCACCAGTAGCAACCCTGAACTACCTCCTCACCCTGCATCTGTAGGGAGGCAGGAAGTTTTACTTTTGAAATAAAGTCCTGGAACTGAATTGTGCCCTCTTTCTCATTGCTGCTGAAACCACCCATAGAGTTCATGTGGGTTGTCATATAGCTTCATGTTAGTCTCTTGCTTTACACGATACAAAATAAATTGGTGATTTTGTTTGGATGTAGTAGAGATGATTTTTTTTTTTTTTGGTTGTTTAGTTTTGCCTTTATAGAATCTATGCCAAGATAGTATTTGAAAAGTCAGTGACATTTGGGTATTTCCTTTCCAGAATTTTATTTGACCTGGATTTCTTATTAAGTTATATTACATTAAGGATATCATTTTTATTAGACTCTTCTTTGTGCACATTATTTCATGGAGCATAATGTTGCATTCTTCTAAATTTTATCCCTAAAAAGAAAACATTACTTCCTAATTTATCATTTTGTCTTTGTGCTTTGTCCTTCTCCTTTGTGGCAAAGCTTTCTATCTGTTCTAAAACAGTTAATTCTGTGAAATAAATATTGACTATAACCCAGAAGAATCTCTGTATTTCCCAGTGGAGAATGAATGCCGTATTTAATACCCCAGCGTTAATCTTTTAATAACTGGCAGAGCACTTTATTCTTCTGGTGAGTTCCCTGAATATTTATTTTTCTGATTATAAATATTCTATGTCAGTAGCATTTTTTTTAATTATTACCTCTTTCCTGTAGAGCATTTACTTTTAGTCTTTCTTGATGTATATTTTGGAATGCTGTACTTAGTATAATACAGATTAAAATTACAGTATCTAACTCTTAAACATCCTTTACTTGTATTTCCCTGATTCAAAGTATTAGTGCTAGATTCCAATTTATAACATTTTTCTAGACTTACAAGGGCTGAATGTTGCCCGCTAGAGTGGTAGCCTAGACAGGATCCCTGCTGCTTATGCTTATCATAGCATACATATTTCTTGTTGATTCAGGTTACATTTAGAGTCTAAAGCTAAAGCCTAGTCATTTGGTCACAGTATGAGGACAAACAGAAATAAGAGTTTAAATCTTCAAAATATTAGGGTAGCCTATGGTTAAAATTATCTAGAACAAAAATGTTTCCATGGTGCCATTTTCAAGGGGTAGTATATCAGGACCACTTTTATAGAAAAGTCCTTCCTCTCCCTTGTTCAAGTATGAATCTAGTGTTATATTCACAGTTTTGTGAGGTTTGGAGCTTTTTAAATCATCTCTGTTGAAAGGAGAGGCTTTTCAGACATAAGGGAAAGGAAAACAGTGAATAATTTGACACAAATCTAGTGCGGCTTCAGTTTGTCATCCTTCTCCTCCAAATGTTTTAAGATATTCGGTTTGGATTCTCAAAGTATCATTTGCCTTATCTGTTAATCTCTATTTTCTGTTTCTTTACATTTTTACATTTGTATACATCTGTACTGTTTTGCTTTTGGATACATTTTCTAATTAAAAACCACGTGAGAAATATAATCAGTGTAGTTATACCTTAATGTGCACATAATAAATAAATGGCTGCAGTGATATAAACAAGCTCTCCTGGTTTTTCTTTTTTGGGTGGCAAGTGGTTTTCATTGGAGTCATCATGGGAATAAAATAGTGTTCACAGGACAGGAAAAGAAGTAACGATTCTCAGGAGAATCCCTCTTTTATGATATTCACCTATCAAAATGTCCCAGAAACAAAACATTTGAAAAGATTGTCACATTTGTTCTACCTTAATCCATTTTTATGCTCTGCATGTAGCATGTACACAATACGTGTTTGTAAATTAATACATAAATAAGCCCCATTGTTTTAGAAAATATTTATTGCTGAAAGTGTTTATTGAAATAATCTGTCATACCAAGCACTGTATTGTATCATATATCATATTGAAACAACATAAGTCATCATCTACATTTTCATGCTTTAATCAACCAGGTTACATTACTTCATGGTTAACTCATCCCGATCTCATTAGTTAACGTTCCTATAACCAGGTAGGCTCATCTATTCCTCATTTGTTTATTGGTTTGAGTAAGATTTTTTTTTCCAACTGTATAAAGTTAAGAGGAATGTTTCTGTTGCAGGCTGTATATTGGAAATAAAAGACAAATTCAAGTCTATTTGCTCACAGTATATTAAACTCCAGAAGCCAAACTTATAAGGGCATCAAGACTGCATTTGACATTTTAATAGCTGCTGTTTGGTTTCTATCAATCACGTCATTGCACATTAAAATGCACCAACAAAATAAGAGATCTGTCATTCCTTCGTTAAGAAACAGTAATCCAGTGCAAGATTTATAGGCTTAAGACTCAACAGTGTGTGTTCACAATAAATCCCCATTCAGTGCTCAAACCAGAAACAAGCCTCCCTGTCGTTCAGTGTTTTCTGGTCAAAATGTCCCCAATATAAGATTATCAAAGGTTTTCTTACAGAACTACATATAAAATCCTTTTTGCCAGCAAAAGCTTAATTTAGGTTGGCGGTTTCCCTTTTTGAGTACTCTCAGACAAGATCTTGGTTATATCAGAAACACATAGGTACTGATGTATTATTAGCGGGCCTGGTGTTAATTAGGGAGAATTACCAGAAATAGTTTGCTTCGTGGGAATTTATTACAGAATCACACTTGACTGATGGCAGAATAGGAGTTGCTGAGAGAGAGCAGCTCCCACTCATAACCACTAATTAATAGGGTGCCAAAATTCCGCAGAGAAGGTTTCATCCCAAGTGTGGGAGCCGCACAGGGAAAATGATTCCTTTGCAGTATTTAAAATTTAAAAGAGGAAAGGGGCTAGGACGCATGGCTACCCAACAGAAATCTCAGACTGATACAGTTTTGTGTTGTACTTATGAATGAGAGCATTTAACTTGGGAAGCGCTGAGCCCAAAAGTTTGTGAAAGAATCCCTTTCCCTCCAAAGGTCAAAAGTAGCCTGTATATTTATTATACTGAGGAGATATGCAGAGGTATTTTTAATGTGGCAAGTGTCTGATTCCCTCAACTGTTCATTTTATGAGGAGAGTTTAGAACAAACCATTTGTCTTTGGCGTAATATTACTGAACTTTTACTCTTTATTCCATGATTTAGAAGCTGTCTGCGTAGGTGGTGAGATTACATCAGTGATTAATAAGAAAGGTGTGGCTTCCACACCTTGAACCCAGAGTTGAGGAAAAACAAGGTGTGTTTAGTGATTGGCACTAAAGGCAGAGTACTGGGGGAGGCCTATTAATGAAAGTTGGCCAAGAAGGCAATTCTTTTCCCTGTGCTTGTAACGGCGTGTAATCACATACAATAAAGCTTGGAACCATTGCTTAGTGTGGAAGAATAAAGCATTTCCATGTCACGAAACCACTGATCACTGGCCTCAGGGAGAAAAATAAAACAATTTATAATTCACAGAGAGTATAATTTTTCAATTTCTCTTCAGGCAATATAGTTTCCAAGGAAAATGACTTCTGTTTCAGGCCCGTGGACTGACTGACATGGTCTCTAATGCATCCGTGTTTCAAAGGACAAAGTTTCTGTTTGATAACTGGGTTCCAAATTAGTTTTTCATCATGTTCTAATTGTCACATTTGCTCTCTGGTTCAAATATACTTAGGTTTGTTTTTTCTTCTTTGTCCCCCTTTTTTTCCTTTGCTTGTAAAGCACACACAGCTGGTGCTATTCTAAGCACTTACTCAAAAATACCATCGTTTGTTTAAAGTATTTTAGGAGACTATAATATCTTCAGAGCTGTCTTTTGATTTTTTTCCCCCTAGTGTATCACTGATATGCCAAACTTCCTTTGGTAAATAACTTGAACTCCAGTGACTTATCATACCAGTATTAGTTTTTGTGTAAATAGAAATCTTTACTTAGGTGACCATATCTTGAGGTCCTCTGACCCCAGAGGTTTTCTCTATTCCTGTTTGAGAATCCTGACAATCTCAAGCCTCCTCAGTTGAGTAAAATGGAGAGCAAATGAACTTTGAAATATAAATTAAAGTTATACAAGCTTTATCAACTGAAACTTATCATTTATTCTGCTCTGTGAGATTATTACACTACTGCTTAATAATTTCTCTGGTACCGTTATAAACGCTTTAGATAAAAATGAACTTAACAAGTTGAGGCCCCAAAGTGAACCCAGGACTTCTGCTCCAAGAAAAGGTATAAATCAATGATGTGAATCTATGAGTTTGCTTATGCCTGACTATCCAGGAAGTTATAGATGATCTTTAACAATATCAACGTAGCATAGATGGTGAGAGTATGTATAAATTAGAGCTCGGGGGGAAAGTGTGTTTGATTATGCCTGGTGGACCAGACTGGGTCCAATTGGGAAGCCAAAATCACACTGAACTTAGCAAGAGAAGTTTAAAGAATTATTATGCTATGGTAGGAGAATAACTATGAAAATGTAAAGAGAACTCAAAGGCTAACCTAAGATTGAGAGGACCCAAGGAAGAACAACCTTCCGATGAGTACCCTTCCCCATGGCTGGAAGTCAGACTTTGTTGGAGGAAGTGTGGTTGCAGCCCACTGAATGACAGAGAAGTTCTCTGGTTGCTGAGGCCAGCCAGAGCTGTTCTCCCATTGGAGGAACAAAGAAACAACCCTCCAGAATGCAGGTAAGCCCAGGTTAGGTCACCAGGTTTAGGTGGGTGGGTGTGCACAGGGAGTTGGAGTGTTGCTATGGCCTAAAATAAATAGTATCCGCATAGAGAGGGCTGTGGCAAGGTGGCCACTGGCCCCAGCCAGGGGTATGAAGTCATCGAGCGACTGTGCATTCTGGAAGCTCAGCTGGGGCAGAGCTCCACCAGATGCGCCCTCCCCCTCACAGGCACCACGGATGATCCAGGCAGCTGGAACAAGGAAAAGCAAAATGCAGCACCTGGACCCAGGAAGAGGAGCTCCTGACTTCTGCCCTGTTCCTTTGTCTCCCTTGGAGACAGTTGACAAAGCTTAACACTGCTCACCGTAAAGGAGAAACGCTTAAAGAGTCCAGTTCACCATCACGGAACAGGCTCTGAAGGATGAATTTGGAAGTGAACACCAATACATTGTTAACAGGCACTTCTGAGTATAAAATAAAAACTTTATATTTTTTTTCTTAAGATTTTATTTATTTATTTGACAGAGAGACACAGCGAGAGAGGGAACACAAGCAGGGGGAGTGGGAGAGGGAGAAGCAGGCTTCCCTCTGAGCAGGGAGCCCGATGTAGGGCTCCATCCCAGGACCCTGGGATCATGACCTGAGCCGAAGGTAGATGCTTAACGACTGAGCCACCCCAGCACCCCTAAATAACATATTTCTTATGCCGTCTTTGTACTTCGTGTGGTATATTACCTGTCAGGCTAGGGTACACTAATTCGCTGTAAGTTTCTAATAACTGGAGAAACGGAGAGTCAAGTATTTTTAACCCAAATACTAGAGATGAGTAAATGAAAACTCCCGAGAAATGATTCTCAAAAAACATATAGTTATAAGTGGCAAAGCTCACACTTAGACTTTTTGGCAGATTAGAGAGAACATTTACTATTTCATCCACACTGTCTCAGAGTCCCTCTTATTAATAAGGTACAATTCTCATATGTTGTTAGTAAAGGACAGGTTTAGCAATTACTTGATTTTGACAGACTACGTCAAAAAAGCTGTATCTGTCTGATTCGCACAGTTGCCTGGGATGTCTGTGGGCGGACCATGTGGCCCCTTCACAGGTGCTCTTTGTGCCCTGGTTAGCCCTCTCCGTTTGCTGATCTTTGTGCTTTCGCTATACTGCAAAGAAGCACAGGAATACTGAGAGTCGGTCTGAGGTGCAGATAACACCAAACGTGGTGCCAAACAAATGAGAAGGCCGTAGGAACTGCGGTGACAGTGACTCGTGCCCACGCAGGTGAACAGTACCTATTTCTAAGATGTTGGAAAGCAAGTCAGGATGGCTGGCACCCAGTTCGTCCCTGTGTGATGCAGTTAGTTCCAGGCTGTGAGTGTGAAGAGTGGACAATGGAAAAGGTGAGGCCTCAGGGAGAAACTGCACATAGGTCCAATTATTCTGACAAGGTTGCCTAAGATTCTTTTTTTTTTCTACTCAATTGAAACAAAATCTCTCTGCTGTTCAGTAACGGCAGGCACCGCCGCTAAGTCCACTAAGGCATAGCTGGAAAATCCCAGCTGCCCTCACATCTGTTTTGTATGACCTTTCAATCATCAGCAAATACTTCTGCCACTAGGAATGGGAGTCTGCGGAGGATATGGCTCTGTGACTTTCTAAGCTATCGCTATGGAAAACATATTGAAACAAAATTCACGCATGCCATGCACCATGCCCAGAAATTACAGACTCGTCTGAGCGGTGTTAAGGTTTTGACCTATCAAGAGTGCTCACACCTGCTTCTTACAGTCAAGTTGTTAATCCTTTGTTCCGAAAATGAGACATATTATGAAATATGTGAATGGGCTTTTATGGCTTAAGACTTAAGTGGTTAGGTTCTTAAACTGGTTCAAACTAAAATAACGTTGATGAAATAGTGTGTTTTAAGACTTCTAACGATT